GGTAAGCTGAGGTCAAGGGATCGACCCCTGGGATCTGCATCGGCTACTGCCAAAGGTGAAAACTGTTTCAATTGATACAATACTTCTGGTAATCAATCGTGGCTACAAGACCTCTCTATGACTGCCAGCTTAAATTCATCATCGCTTTCTCCTCCTCCTCTTGATAATTGGCTACTGTCTCTCTATTCGCTAACATAACCATGACTGCCACTCGATTCATCATTGCTTCCTCCATACCCTCGACCTCCTCGTCAGAGTGGTATTTCATGATTGGTAATCACTGATGACCACCTCCCACCTATCCTACGCATTCAATCAAGCTTGTCAATACAAAGCTATACTAAAGGTGCGCAAGCTCTTACCATCTACCCACTGGATCATCATCATCATCGGTGCCTCTCTCTCTCTCTCTCTCTCTCTCTCTCTCTCTCTCTCTCTCTCTCTCTCTGTGCTGGGGCGATGGTTCCGGCCAGATGCATTCATATTCCTCATCAATGGGTCATACAGATGCAGACTGGCCAGGTACATCTCTGGCAAAAGAAAAAATATGAGCTTACCTCTGATCCAGCAACAACCCATTTGTAGAACAGAACCATGAACCAACAGTATCCTGAGCATATTGGAGATTTTATAAACAGCATTGACCTTTCAGGAAAAGGAAACCAGTTAAACAACAAAATTAACAAGGGAAAAGCAAGCCACGTGGTACTTGGATCATAGCAGAGTTTTCACATACACACCTGAATGAGCAACTCTCGATTGTGGGAATTTTCCACAACTAAGTGCGCAATGTCTTTGAGGATATCAATGTGCAACTGATAGTCCTCACACCCACGCAGGAACTTGCAAATGATGCCCATGACTGCAGGAAGCTCCATGTCTGGTGGAGTTGTTTTTAACGAGGGCATTGTTGGTGCTCCAGCCAATATCCGCGGTGAGCGAGCCAGTAGCTGTGGACATGATCCAGTCAAAGTCTCCAAGCTCTGGGAAGTTGCTTGCCATGTCCCATGCATCTGTTCATGTGATGCATCCAAAACATGTGATGCATCCAAAGCCTGCACAGAACATGCCCCACACATGAGAACAACATGCCCCACACATGAGAACAACAGGAGTCAAACTGTATCATACTAAAATCATGTTTCTCTGCATAGATAAATTATATAGGGCCCTGTTGTCCGTCACCACGTACTCTAAGGCACCATCAACTCTGGCAGCGGAGATGACGAAAACATACGGGCATGTATGATTGGTTTACAATCCGACTCAGAGGATCGACCCTGCAAGGGAACAAACTTCAAACATCGCTCAATGGCCAGATGCCTTAACAACTGCCAATGCGACCCGGAGTTCAGAAGTGATATCCACCCATCCCTGCATGGTTCTCTCTCTCTCTCTCTCTCACACACACACACACACACACACACACACACACAGAGAGAGAGAGAGTGCAATCAGACTCACTTTCTTCTCCGCTTCGCATGCATACAAACAGATGGTGATTCACACTGGCGCATAGCGCCCAACTCAAAGCTCGGAGATATGGAAACCATGAACACAGTTCGGATGCAAACTCGCTTCAACAGGCTATGGTGCACCAGCAACCTATACATCCCAACTCTCGTCACTGTGTCCAACACCACTGTTCGCTCACACTTCAACTCTGGATCACCCTGGATATCCCACACGCAACCCACTGTACACTCGCACACTCGCACCCGCCACTCTCTGTCCTATCAGCTATGGCGGCTATGCAGACCACCTTGCACAAGTCACTGTAGCAGCGCTTCCGCATGGCTTATGCAGGAATGAATGAATGGCTGGGCGCTGCCTCTTGATTTATACTTCTGTAACTCGTTGGTCTGCCCCTCTCCACCAGGCCTATGGTGCACACAGTCCCTCATGGTACTTGCTTGACTGGACTGGGACTGCTGGACCAGTACCGCTGACTGCATGGGTTTGCACTGCCAACTCAATGCAGTTGCACTGCCAATGTAATGCAGCTGGGCTCACCACTTGCCCACTTGCCGCTGACAAAACGTGAGGCAGCTTCGAAAGGCCACTTCCGGACCTTCCGGAAGCCTGTGGACTTGGCCTTTCGAGTACTGTAGCAGCTACGACCTTGACCTGTCAGGACTGTAGCAGCTACGACCTTGACCTTTCAGGATTCCTACAGCTACGACCTCTACAGGGCTGTGACTCCTACCTGACAGATCTACAGATCGAACCCCTACCATTACACAGACCTCCGCCAGACAACAACAACTCTCAAAACACTGGTCACGGGTTCAAACACTCGGGTCGACACTGATACTGTACACAGGTAAAGTGAGGACTAGGGATCGAGCCCTGGGACCTGCACCCGCTACTGCTAACAGGTGAATACCGTTTCACTCCCGCCAGCCTAAATTCGAGGTCCTCCGAGAATAGCTCAGTCTAAGGCAGAACCTTTTCCCTTCCTTTCTCTCTCGTAGGCTCTCACTATGTCGGGAGCTGATTCTAGAAATTCAGTTCTAGTAAACGAGCGATCGTCCTCGGGTTCCTGATACGCAAATCGAACCTTGTACTGTTTCTGTGGACGACCTCTACCTCCTGTTCTGAATACGTCTTCACCTACAATGCCGTCAATGTCGTACCTTCCGTCCATGTCTGGGTGGATCATGGATCTTCTGGATGGAAACTGTTGACTTGTGACACAGGGCAACAACTTTGACGCATGAAACATGGGGTAGGTGTGGAGGTGTGCTGGGATCTCTACCGTGTAGGACGGCCCATCCTCTCCGCCCTTAACTTCTAGAACTGGCCACGGTCCTCTATACGCGCGCAATAGCTTCTGTGAGATGTTCTCCTCAGGCGCATTAGACTTGACCCAGACTAAGTCGCCTACTCGAGACTGCGACGGGCAACGGTGCTTATTGGCTTGCTCTATCATTCTATGCTGGGCGTTCCTGAGGTTCTCTACAACGGTAGCTAACTCCTTTTCGTGCTGTAACGCAAACTCCCTAGTACCGGGCGGTAGCCTTTGATTTTGATCCCAGTTAAGTCCCTCAAACGGTGTGCGTGGTCTAAAGGACTTGTGCAACTCGTTGGGAGTGCGACAAGTAGACAAGTGCACGCTGTTATTGTACGCACTGGCTACTTTGGGCAACATCTCATCCCAATTGATCTGATCCGGTCTAATGTACATACGCAGAACTTGTTGCAGGATCTTGTTCATCTGTTCAGTCTCACCGTTAGTCTCTGGATGACGGCCAGATGACATCAACAACTTGGAGCCATAGACTCTCATCAACTCCTGCCAGTTCTGACTAGTGAACCGTGTGTCTCTATCACTAACTATAGACAGTGGAATCCCGTGTTCACTGACCCAATGATCAAAGAACTTCTGAATAACTAACTTTGTACATGCCTCTGAGGGCAAAGGAACAAAAACAACATATTTACTGAATCTATCAACTATTACCATGACTTGGCTCTTGTCGTGCCTACTCTTGACATGGGTGTCCATAAAGTCAATGGACACTGAGTCTCCTGGCTGATCAGGAATAGGCAAGAGTCTGAGAAGACCTAGAGGGGCACGCGTAGAGGTCCTATTTCTCTGGCAGACCTTACAACTGCGAACATACTCTATGCATTCGGCCTTCATCCCAAGCCATATGTACGCACGCATGAGGTTAGCTAGAGTCTTTTGCCAACCAAAATGTCCCTCAGTATCGTGGCATTCCCCTAGGATCAAACTACGGATCTCCTCACTGTTAGGAATGCACAATCGATCAACTACGTTTGTCTTTTCGAATGGCAGCCCACCAATAGTGCGGTAGTCTGGTTCGGATTCTGGGGCCTCCTTTACTCTCTTGAGGAGGTCACCATAGATAGGGTCCTACGCATACGCCTCTCTAACTTTCTGTTGCAGGTCTCTCCCTATATCCAGATAATGAACTATCGCTCCAAAGTAGTCAGGTCTCCTACTCAGAGCGTCCGCAACTACATTATACTTCCCTTTGACTGGCTTAAGCTCAAAGTCATATTGGTCTAACTCTGCGGCCCACCTAGTAAGCTCATGTGTCATCTTGGCCTACGTCTTCAGCCACCTTAATGTCTCGTGGTCCGAGTAGACTTTGAAGTGCCTCCCAAGCAAGTAATGCTTCCAGTGTTCTAATGCTTGCCTAAGAGCGTAGAGTTCCCTCTCATAGGTAGATGTCGCTATATCCGTTGCCATCGTCTTGCTGTAATACAACACCTATACCATACTGGCTCGCATCAATCGTGACGACAAAAGGTAAGGACGGATCGGCTACCTTAAGGACCGGGTACTCTATCAACGCCTGCTTCAATTTCCTCATGGCGAATATGCAGTCCTTTGTCCCACTTCCAGATTGTTTCTTTCTTCAGCAACCTGCGAAGGGGTGCAGCGATGGTGGAGAAGTTTCTCACAAACTTTCTGTAATAGTTAGCTAGGCCTAAGAACGACCGCAACTCTGTCAACGTGCGGGTTGTAGGTCAATCTCTAATCGATGCGATCTTGTTATCTTCTGGTTTGATGCCGTCTCCGTCTAAGACATTGGGTCTTTGCCCATTCACACTTCTTTGCATTGATCTTGAAGTAAGCCTCTCCTACTGAACACTAGAATGTCATCCAAGTAGACTACTACAAACCTGTCTAACCACGACCTAAACAAGTCATTCATACAACGCTGAAAAATTGTTGGCGCGTTGGTTAGTCCAAAGGGCATTAACTATAAACTCGTAGAGCCCATATCTAGCCCGGATCGCGGTCTTATACTGATCATCAGGATGGACCTCTATCTGATGATATCCAGACCTCAAGTCTTTCTTTGAAAAATACTTGCAGCTCTGCACCCGATCTAAAAGATCATCTATATGGGGCAACGGCTCCGCGTTCTTCACGGTGATAGCATTGAGACCCCTATAGTCAATGCACATTCTAGGCTCTCCCTCCTTCTTTGGGATAAATAGAACAGGTGCTCCAAATGGAGACGAATTGGGCCTAATCCAACCCTTCTCTAGGAGTTCATCTAACTGCTTGCGCAGCTCCTCCAATTCCCGCGGGGACATCCTATACACTGCTCCTTTAAGAGTCCTGCTGCCAGGTTCAATCTCAATGCGATGCTGGATGGGCCGCGGGACTGCCCTTATAGGCGGCTTAGCTAGATCTGTGTACTCTTCCAGCAGCTTGGCAATGGCGGGATCTATGGGTTTTTCCTCTTTCGGCTCGGTAACTGGCCTAACATAGGCTACAAAAACTTCTTCTTCTAGTTGCTGCTCCTTCACTAAACTCGCGAACGCAGGAGCGCTAAGGCAGGAATGTATCAGGAAGTTGTCTACTCCTGACACATGAAACACACGGGCAGTCTTGACCCCGCCTGACGGGCTAGGGAGCCTACACTCGTGTTCTCTCAAATGGAGTGTGGCCCCGACTGCCTCTCCCCATGCCATTCCTAGGACTATATCGAAGGGAAGGTTGTCCTCTACGAGGAGAGTCAGAGAATGGAGAACTTTCTCCACTTTCCCATCTTTCTCTAGGCGAAAGTACGCCTGGACTCCCTCTACGTAATCCTCTACTCGCATTGTGCGACTGTTTGCGAGGATACTCACTATGGGGTCTGTTAACTTTTGGACTTTTAGCCCCAACTTAAACTTCTGCAGCGCCTTTCTACTAATATAGCTGCGCGTGGCCCCACTATCTACTAGGGCCCCTACTCTACCTCTAAAAATCTCTACGTCTACTAAACCTAGTTGTCCCCACTATCTACTAGGGCCTCTACTCTACCTCTAAAAATCTCTACGTCTACTAAACCTAGTTGTCCCTTACTCTCCTTCTTCATCTTGGCCCGGGCGGGCGTTCTCTCCTTTAACTCATCGGCCATGCATGTGAGGTAAGTGCCTAGAGAGACTTTGACACAAGCAGTCTCTGGACAGCTATCTAGGCACCGACCTGCAACCTCTGCTATCGGCACATGTGGTGTGGGAGTTTCTTGCCGGCTCGCTCTCGCTTCCCCACATGGCCTTGTGGTAGGGGCAGTTGCTATCCCTACCGGCGGCTGCCTTTTGACCCCTGGGTAGCCGAATGGGCCTGTCTATATGCACTGCCCCTGATCCAAACGTTGTTGCCATAAGCGCTGGTCCAAGCCCAAGTCTTCCCAAGGCCGACCCTGTGGCAGCCCTGGGTGCCAACTGCCTCTCCAAGAGGGTGCCCTGTTTCCCCTATTCGGTGACCGATTCCCTCTATTAGGCGACCCATTCCCTGAACGCTTTTGCGGGGGACCTTGACCCCTTCCTCCCACTTGGCGGTTTCCTCCTCGACCGCCAACCCCCTGATCGCTCTGGGAACGGCCCCCTGAGGCCCGCCCCCCTTGGCCCTCGCCTCTACCTCCTCCTTGCGGCCTCCCTCCAGCCGCGACAGCAGCGTAGGTCCTCCCCTGACTAACGCTACTGTCCTCTTCGTCAAGCCCCCACTCAATCTGCTCGTAGGGGACTTCGTCTACACCACCCTCATCTAAAGTAAGGATCAAGCGATCCTTGGTCTTTACCTGTCCTAAGATGGTGCGACCTTTCCACTTTTTGCCCTTGTCTAGGTCCTTATGCCAAAAAGTGGAAATTGACATGGACCACGCTTCAAAGGCTACCACTTCCCTGCTCAAAGCGTCACAGGTCATGGTAGGCTGCTGACTCTTCTCAAAGAAATGCCCGCACAGCTGTTCGGGCATTGCACGATAGTAGAGGTTGACCAGTTGGGTCTCAGTGACCCCATGGTCCGGGATGGCGACTAGCTCGTCCATCACACCCTTGAGTGCTCTAGCACTCTTCCACTGACGAGAGTGGATGGTTTGCAATCTATCGGAGGCTTTGACACTGCGTGAGACATCTGCGAATCATTCACGCAATAATTTAAGGAAGTCGATGAGGGGAGTGAACGCGGAATAAGCGACTAAATCATCATTACAATTGGCGGCGCGACACAAGGAACGGGCGAAGCTCGCTGCTTCGTCTCGGAGGGCATGGACGGCTATAAGGACATGCTCGTGCAGGGAGACCTTCTGCAGATGTACATAGGTTTTGACATTGGCTTCCCAATTGTCAAAATTCTCCTCTTTCTTACCGCTATAGGAGTCAAGGAACTTGACCTTGACAGGCTCCCTTCGGGGACGTGCTTCCTCCTCCTTGGGAGCAGTCAGTCTGGCGCCTTCTATGGCGCCCGTGCAATAACGCTCCGTACCCTCTAGGCGGGCCTTCACCTCTGAGCCCACCTACGTCGCTAATTCCCTTGCAAAGTCCCTGAGTCCCAACCGTATAGAGCGCAAGGCAATGTCTTGACCTCTACCAAACAAATATTGTCCTTCCTGGACCTGGGCCAGGCGCTCTATGTTTCTCGCCATGATCTCCATCTTCCCCAGTAGGTCCTCCTCCAATTCTTTCGCCGCTTGGCTCGCCGCCTCCATTCTCCTTTTCTTCTCCCTCGTCAGTCGGGACTTCCACTCCATCCTCTTCTCATCTGCTATAGCCTGCCGCTTGAGTGGGTCTTCTTCTGCATCCCACTCTCTCATGGCCGCCTCTTGTTCTTCCCTCGGCACATACATTAGTGCCTCCTCTTCTTCTCCTAGGGATAAACCAACAACCCACTCCGTAATCTTCTTCTCCATCTGATCTTCCTTTGTTCCACTGGATTCTCCTCTTCCTCCTGTCCTTCGCCTTTCCAATGGCGGTTCTTCTATCTCTTCCTCCTCTTCTACTGCCTTGGGCTTCTCTTCTTCTTCTTTCTTTAACCTTTTTTTTTCTCTAGCCATCTCCTCCTCGATCTTCTTCAACTTCGCCACCTGTTCGTCTATCAAGGCCTTCTTCTTGGCCTCCTCCTCTCTTCTCTCCTTCAGGACGGCGGCGGCCTTCGCATCCTGCTCTACTGTATAAGGGAGGTGCTCATTCCTGTACGTGTCCCTGACTGACTTACCTAAGACTGACTCACTCTATGGACCACAGGATCCGTATAGAACCCTGTCAACTATGGTCTCTAGCCTGGACTCAATACTACAGCCGTCACTACAGGATCTGTTGCTGACCAAGAGGCATTTAAGGAGATGCCATGTAACTCCTCAGGAATTCTGTAACGTCGCAAACAGGACGACGCGGTCAGCAGATCCTCTCAAGACTTAAACGGCCCGTTGTGCAGCCCACAACTAGGATTTTGGCCCTATCGTGCCACACCGAGCAGCCCGCCGGGACAAAACCGGTCCTTGGGAGGGTTCATGTCCTCCGAGACAGTCGAGTCATCAGACACAGTCTTTAGCCCTACTCAGCCCGTGTGGGTTTGGTCAACGAGGCCCTATCCTTCATACAAGGAATCCTATCACCTGGACAGAAAAGACTCAATGCAGAAAGAAGAGACACACAGACTCAGGCTCAGCAAGCACCATAGGGTGAGTGCACATCCACAGGGCGAGGGGATAGGCTAAGGGCTTGGCGAGATTATACCAACTCCAGCTTGGTCAAAATCATGGTCAACGGCTCCGATCAACGCCTCGGTCAACGCTTGGTCAACGCGGTCACACCCCAGTTAACGCTCCGGTCAACCCTTTGGTCAACGCCCAGTCAACCTCTAGGTCGGCTATGGCTGCCGGCACCTTCTTCCTTGCCAACCTCCCTTCTTTTCCTCCTCCTTCACCTTTCTTCATTCTCGCCCTTTCTTCTTCCCTTTTTTTTTTTTTTTTTTTTCTTTTCTGTTC